CTCTCTTATCGTAGTAGGAAATCTTTGAGTTGTCACATCCGTCTCCCTCCGGAGAGCCTCCTGCGTGGGAATCCTCTTGTTTTGAAGAGGAGCTTCCTCTGTTGTTGCTTTTTCCCCCATCTACAATATATTTTTGTTGGAAATGGAGTATTTGAACTTTTGAAAATAAGAAACTCACTTTCATAAAATCATAAATTATAATATTTTAAAAATTACTATAAAGATTCTAATTGCACTAGGCACCTATTTTTAGATGCCACAAGATTCTAAACCCTCAAAATAATAAAGTCGAAATAGGGCTTTCTATTAAGCGAGAAATAACAAAAGGATGAAAGTAGGATTTCTTTTACGTGATTAAGAACAAACGAAAGATTTTAACTCTTCAACATGATCGTAAGGTAAAAATATGATTAAATATTTAATGTATTTTAGTCTAAGTAACATAAATAAGATATGATGTATTATATACGTACATATACTATTTTTCGGGAATTAATTTCCGATCTGAAATTCCAAATATTTTTATATAATTCCAATTCCAATTCAAACTATTCAAAATTCGGAATTTAAGAAATTGGAACATTTTTTTCTCCCAAAATAGGAACATTTCCGATTGAAACCAACGGAAATTAGAAATTCCGTTTCAACTTTCTCCCCCGTTTGGTTATGAACTCAACTTTGCAATTTTATATATTAAATTGAAACACCAATTAATTGCCATGTCTATGGGAATATAACGTGCCATAATGCTAGACCATGTGCATTGAGATGTATAATATAATTAAATACTTTTGGAATGTCAATATCACTGCACTTCCAGCTTCTTAGTATCTTTATTTATTTTTTTATTTATTTAAAGTTAATTTATATATGTGAATTATGATGAATATATTATTTTTAATTACCAACTGACGTGCATTATAAAGGAATGTAAATCATTAAAAATATAATGATAGTTGTAATATTATTATTTAATAACCAATATTTTGAAATTATAAAAAATGTTATTTTGTACTACCCATTTGGCAAGATTAGAAAATAAAAATTTCCCAAAATCAGTAATAAGACATTAGCAAAAAACCCAGTAATAAGACATGTTTGGGCACGGCTTAAATAAAAATATTAAATCACCTATTGGATTAAAAATAATAATAATAATAAAATAATAATGTCTGTCCTCGTAATATACGTGAAAAAATATATTAAAAAATACATTAATTATTAGTATTCAATGTTTCTTGTAAGTTTCTACGAAAAAAGAAGTGGTGTCTTTTTCTTAGGGAAACTTTTCTTTGATACATCGTTGACTATGAATTTATATAATTTTGAATTCTCTCTCTACTATATTCATCTCATCCATCAATTATGTGTAACCAAATTAAATAGACATTCAGAGAAACTGAAATATTAAATCTCATTCCAATTTTACTAATACCTTTTTATTAAAATTAATGATTTTAGTAAAACTGAAAATACGGAACTGTAGTGCTTTGTGTTAGTGTTCTAGTTCAACTTGAATCAGTCAAATTAAATATCAAATGATAAAGTTATGCATGAATGAGTTACGATTTGAATTTTACACAACTCATACCATAAAAAACGAAGGAGGTGTTTGTTGATTCATGCATATCTTTCGAATCCAACATTCAATCTTAGTGATTAAAGTTAAATTAGAAAACTGATTAAAGGAACTACAATTTTTTTGTTTTGAGTTTTACCAATTTCAGAATAAAAAATTGTCAGAATTGCGTTTTAAAGTCCAAACAATATTATTTTAATTTTTAACTGAAACGATATTTACCGCGTCCCTTATTTTATTTTTTTTAATTAATATATATTGTTGTTTTGTGAGGATGTGTGTGACATAATTATTGTACAAAAGTACAATATTAGTTGTTCTTCCTAGTATCTGTCTGTACTAAGGACAAGAAAATAGAATCTTCTAAAAGCAGAGCCGACGAAATAACATTCTAGCACGATTTAAAAAAAAATTAAAATTAAAATTAATTAATAACTCATCATGAACATTAATCCATGTGATTAGTTTTGGCAGTAGTAGTTATTCCATAATTAAAATATAAGCTAAATAATAATACTTCTTGCTAATTACAAAAAAATATATAAAGTTTTAAACAAAAATCCTTAATTTTCATTCATCTGTCCTGATGCACAGGTTTAGTCCTCGACCGAGTTGCTCGACTCAGCTTTCTTCTTCGTCTTTCTTTTTCCTGCAACGATTAAACAAAACTTGTGCAGCACAATTACAAAAAAAAAAAAAAAAGAATAATAAGAGGTATAGATAAATTCAGCGTTAATTACGCCGTTAACATTATAATTAGAAAGTAATAAAATATGGTTGATAACTATTAAATAGTGTCATAAAAGCTTACTGCATAATAATTAACTATTCTTCGTTAGAACAATCCACAGAAGCGCCGTAACAATGGAGGCCTGTGATGATTGCAAAGCATACAAAGGTTTAGTTGAAACAAAACAAATTCATTTCGAAAAACAGAAATTCGGCAAAAAAAATACGAGAGTTATATATATACCATATATTCAATAAGTCCTTCTCTCGCAAGAGGTTTCGTAAATTCGTAACTGTTTAGTGTTACACGTACGTAGACTTTTATGTACCTTCAAACGCAAAAGAAAATGCAGTCATATATATATATATATATAGTTCGAAGGACAAAATAAAATAAAAAAGTTTACAAATAAAAACCTAATACATACCAGGGAAATACTTCAACATTGGTAACGATCATTTTATAATAATGAATTATCTTTGTTGAGTAGGGCTTTATGTGTATATCAGCTTTTTCAACATGGGGTTTAATTATCTCCGAAACTCGATCAATATACGGGTTTGTGAATATCTTTGCTGCCTCTAAGTGAGGCTGCATCCACTTGTCAACCTCGTATTTCCGCTTAATAGCCTGAATAAACAAGATTTAATTAGAACAGAATCATGTTTGGGTTCAGAAATCGAACTGCATTAGATGTAACGAGCATCGGATACATGATATTGTGAAAGAACAATAGTACATTTTTAATAGTCCGATCCAAGGTCGGTCTCCCGATTTCGTTCCAGTGAGTTACGAAAATTGACTACATGTTCAAGATTAAAAAAAAAAACCCTGTTAGGAAAACAGTTAAAACCAATAAATATTTGCCTGCAACACGAGTATATTTCCGGAGAATCAAATCTTGATATACACCTGTTTGCGTTGTTTAGTTGTTGAAGAACCTTCCAATTTATCATTCAGCATTTCTTCCTGCAGCCACGTCGAATTAATTCCTTCAGGAGTAATGGATTTCAAATTAAAACACACCATGTACTACCACAAGAAGATAAGAATATAGGGACTCGTAAAAAAGCCTCGGTCAATTGAAGAGCAACCCGAGTTTTACGAGTAAATGGGATTTTTGTTCGTTATTAATCTTTTGCAGCTACCGATAACATCAATCATTAGTTTACAGAAGTGACTGCACCATTCGTTACGAAGAAATCAATAACTGCCAACAGTAAAAGCCCACTTAACATATACGCAAAACCAGAAACACACAATGAACAAGTAACAAAATTAACAAGAAACCATAATAAGCAAATGCAAATTCAAAACGTTTCAAACACCGAGTTCAGCCCGTCGATCTTTTTTCTCAGATACATTCGCTCGAGCTTCCATCTCGATTTTTCCTTTTCAAGATTACGGATCTATAACATCACACACACACACGAAAAACACGCAACATCTTCAAAAAACAAACTAGCAGACAATCCTCATCATAGTAAACAGTTCTCGAGTATTGAAAAAAAAACCTGTTTCTCGAGTTCAAATACACGGGCATTGACCTGTCCGATTTGTTCCTTCACTTCTAATGATTCCTTTTCCTAATATATGGCAAAAGGGGCAAAAGAAACATACTTATCAGCACAACTAACAATCGGGGATTAAACGATAAATTTAATACACAGCCAATCGAAATTAACCTCAAGTGATTGTACTGCACTCTCCAATGAAACCAAACTAACTAAATGAAACTTACCTAGAGCCATTATTGAAACAATCAGCACAAACTCGCACATTTGAGTAAATATTGAACTGTGGCAAGGCCTGCAAAAAGTTATTGATATTAAGAGTGTTTCTCATGTTAATAGCATCTGCCATCTTCCACAGATCCCCAACTCTGTCGCAATGAATCTCAATACGTAATTTCGTAAATACAAAACACAGCATTCGGCATATCTTATATAAATATTGCATCAAACAAACCTATGTTTTTTTTTTAAGATATAAACACAAGGCATCTGTTGACAAAACCATTTATGCACAATTGATCTGGAAATTAAATAAATACTTGGCGCATTTTACAGAATCAACCAGATCATTCAGATCAAGTCAATCATTATACCATGCAATCGCCAACCAAAATCAGCCAGGATCACTATCTGATAAGGAACGTCAAATTGGATTCGAATTGCAAAATAACTACTTAATTCGGAGAAGAGTTATTTATGGGCATTGGTGGAAATATCGAAAGAAAATATGGAAAAATAAGAGTTTTCTACGAACTCAAATTAATATTTGAGTACGAAACGAACTCTATCTCAAGTGAAACGGCGTAAGGAATAAAACTTATGAGCAAAGCTCATGAATCACGTCAAATTTCAGCAATCCAACGTCGTTTAGACTCCCAAAAGTTCGTTTTTGCTATTTTAGGCAAGTTTTACGAGATCTACGAGAATCAGACTCTAACTCGATTTTGCCGTTTTTGGTGATTTTTAGTATTCATTTTTTTCTTATTATATATTTTTTCCCATAAAAGAAAAATAAAAAATTATGTTCGACCCACAACTGCATGCCGGGACCACCTCTGACCTCTAACTATGTTAGTTTTCGGCTCTACTTTTTTCCCTAGACCCGAACCCGGCGTGTCTGGACCCACGTTCATGTCGAATATATCGATCATGATCGAGGGCAATTTTCCCGTAATGTTATAATATCTCGAAGCCCGGCCTTGAATGCTTATAACAATTAGGGTACTAGGGATAAGTGTTGCTTTTGGCAAAGCCATTTATTTGTATCACATGAGAGAGTTCAAAAAGACAAGCACTAGATGCAGAACACCGTCAACTTTTGGCTAATCTTACCGATGAACAAAAAAACATCTACCATAAGATAATGCTTCGCATTGCAAATAAACATGGAGGGCTGTTTTTTATATATGGGTATGGTGGTACTGGCAAAACATATATTTGGAGAACTCTTTCGGCTGCTCTGAGATCGAAAGGTGAAATAGTTCTTACCGTTGCTTCAAGTGGGATAGCAGCTCTACTCATTCCTGGTGGAAGAACGGCTCATTCGAGATTTGTAATCCCCATAGATGTTAATGAGGATTCTACTTGCAATATTGCACAAGATAGCCCACTGGTTAGTTTGATCGCCAAAGCAAAACTGATCATTTGGGATGAAGCTCCTATGATGCATAAACACTGTTTTGAGGCTGTTAGCAAAACCTTCAAGGATATACTCAAATTCTCCAATCCTGACAGTAAAAAACAACCTTTCGGGGGAAAAATAGTTGTTTTTGGTGGTGATTTTCGACAGATTCTACCTGTGATACCGAAAGGAACGAGACAAGAAGTAGTGTTTGCTAGCATTAATTCCTCATGTTTATGGAGATACTGTGAAGTTCTGACGTTGACAAAAAATATGAGGCTACAATCCGGCAAATCAGATTCTGAGGTTCGCGAAGTGAAAAAATTCTCAGAATGGGTGTTAAGTGTTGGGGATGGCACTGTAGGTGGTCCTAATGATGGAGTAGTCGATATTGAAATCCCTGATGACTTGCTCATAAAAGATTCAGGTGACCCACTTGCTTCGATTGTGAATGAAACTTATCCATCATTTTTAGAGAACATGGATGATATCAGTTATTTGCAACATAGGGCTATACTGGCTCCGACTAATGAGATTGTTGATGTGGTGAATGATTACATGCTATCGTTTGTTCCTGGCGAAATGATGACGTATCTCAGTTTTGATAGTCCGTGTTCAGCGAACGAAGGCATTGACAGACCTGATGACATTCATACGCCTGAGTTTCTGAATACCATTAATTCTTCTGGTCTTCCAAATCACGAGTTAAAGCTTAAAGTTGGTGTTCCAGTCATGTTGCTGAGAAACATAGACCAATCGTCAGGTTTGTGCAATGGCACCCGACTGTCAATCACGCGATTAGGAAAGCGAGTCTTGGAAGCAAAAATTATATCAGGCACCAACATTGGTCATAAGGTTTTTATTCCACGACTCACTCTGACGCCATCCGATAGCAGAATTCCTTTTAAATTTCAACGTCGCCAGTTTCCTATCATGCTTTCGTTTGCAATGACAATAAATAAAAGTCAAGGCCAGTCTCTTCAACATGTGGGTATTTATCTTCAAAAGCCGGTGTTTTCGCATGGACAATTATACGTTGCTATCTCAAGAGTTACCATATCGCAAAGGATTGAAGATACTTGTATGTGACAAAATTGGAA